AAAACAGTCTGTAGTTTGCTGTATGCAATGGCAAACAAGTATGGTACGGCACGCAGGTGCATGCGCCGTGTGGGTCTCGCACAAACATGGCGGCGGGGAGCGTGGCGCGAAGGAGGGCAAGGAGGATTGCCCTCGATGGAAAGGAGGAAAACGTGGGGAGAGGAGGAATTGCACTACCTTTCAGTATATAGGGACCTTAGTTGCAGCAACTTCTGGAACCTCAGGGCATAGAAAAAGTATTCTAACAAATTCGACACCTGAACTGTCTCGGGTTCTCTACGACAGAACCGCCCTTTGTAAGCTTATTCAGATTGTAGAGAGACACAGTACAGTGGTCAGAAACCCTTGTTCTGGACATGGTAACCCCCTAGGAATTGGCATCACGCCTGCACTGCAACTGCAAAAACCATTCATTGGTTTCTAGTACGAGCATGGTCATTGGTGTCTGTATACAGTGGCCTATGTCTGTAGCGGAATCCTCCCGACACAATTTGAGAAGGTTTGCCGTTTTGCTACGTTACCGTACTGGCCAAGAACTCTGGAAAAAGTGATTAGCCAAATCGAAGCGGCAATAGGGCTGGTGAAGCCTGAAAGCATGTCAAATGCGCAAGGCAAGAATCAGAGCTCACCGAGCAAGATGACCCCTCTACGACAGTGGTCAACATTCAAACTGATGCCCGACATGCCAGGAGCAAGAAACTCGCACCACACAGATGTTGTGGCACTTGGCCAGAAATCTCACAAAGTTATCGAAATTGAACACGTTGTGGGGCGCTCGGCCTGCCACACAGCGGCCAAACCGGCGACTAGCGGGGGGGCGGCTCCCGACGCCGACAGGCTAGGAAAGGGATGGCCCGTGTGGCCGAGAGCAGTTGCTGCCCCGAGTCTTGGCCAGGCCGAGTCATGGTAATAAACCCTGTTTGACCCCGAGGAACGAGTCGTCTAGTTGATCACCTGCGACGGACGGCGGAACGCGAACGCCACAACGTGAACAAAAAAGACGAAATATCTTCACAAAACACGAAGCATGTGGGACAAAGAGGCTATACTATCACACTGAGTCGAGAACCATTTGTGTCCTAGACCATGCCCATGACCGCAACACAAGCGTCAATAAAACTATTAAAGAAAAGAACATACTATCAAATTCAAATGACAGCCGGCACGTTGCAAAGAGCCTTATAAAAGGGGTTCTTGCGATATCCTCTGGACCCAAGAATGAGAGAAAAACGTGGCATGCCGAACTGTCAGACAAGTGTCGAGCGGTTCGCAACCACGCATACTATGCAATGGCCACTTCTGAGGGAGATGAATCCAAGCTCAGAAATACTTTGATGAACTGTATCAACCATTTCAACAGAAAACACAGAAAATGCAGTGCGGACTAACCTCGCAAATACAACAGATATATTCCTACAACCTTGCTAGTAAAAAATCCTGCTGCGTTCGAGATCCTAAGCACAGTCTCGAGGATTATGACCGCATTTAAGAATGCCGAAGACTATGAAAAGTCAAAGGACACATTTTATATAGAATTATTTCACAAATTCATGCTATCTACCTTGACAAGCACATTCACTATCAGGACAAGTCGCACAACTTGAGACAGAGCTTAGCTCTCCTTGACTGGAATGAGCACATTGGAAGAGGACACACTTCCACCTAATTGATTGAGCACTGCCGGCATCCAGATCGGAAGGGCAGAAAAAAGAAATATGTGAAAAAGACGTACAAGTAAGTTATGTTGCATCGTGCAGCAATCTCGTTCGGAACTCATCATGCGCCTTTTTTTTTTTTCAGCTTCATTCTAAACATTTGTGAGTTGGTACTGCAAGCTGCTGCCCTCAATGATGCCAACGTTGTGATGGATGACTCTCCTGGGGCCCTAAACTCGTCAGATACAAAGTTGTAGCCGAAAGTTCGTGGAGCGCGCCGATTGGATATCGACGAGAAAAACGCAAAGTCATTGCCGTGATTGTCCAATCGGCGTGCTCCGTCAACTTTGCCTCAAACTTTGTATTTGACGAGTTTAGGGGCCCTGGATGACAAGTACTAACAGCTTAGGTACACTATGTTTATCTTTAAGGCGGTTACAATGACCTAGACTTAGAACCCAATCTATTGCGTTATAGCAGCTCTTGGTGAAGTGAGTGTATACAAATGTTCCTCCTTTTACAGCTTGGGACACCACTGGACGTGGGACAAGACCGACAAAACAATGACACTTCATCGACTCCAATAAAAGGAAAATTTGGAATTTCAATGTAAACAAACAGGTTATTGAATAACACTGTATTTTCTAAAAAGACATGCCGAAAACATGAAGGTTATTAAAATTTTCTGTGACAAAAAGCTCACAGGTAGCGAAGGCGCTAATGGGAGGGAACTTTAACGTATTTTGATTGAATTGAAACGTTTGCGGTGGCTGGTGTATGAGTAGTGATCAAACTGCATGCTTTTGTGGGTGACATCATGGGACGTCGCGTTCACGTGGGAACTGTGAAGGCCAAGTGCTCGAAAAATGCCCATTCATGAGATTGAGAGTACCGCTCTCCAACCCTTTCTACCCTCTACATGGACAATTATTTCTCATATGTGCCACTTTCTCGGGAGCTAATGCAGCTTGAAATCCTGGCATCGTGAACTATCCGGGTTAACAGAATGCTGTGATGTCCTTTGAAAACCGACAAAGAACTCAAACAGAAGGGACGCAGAAGCCACGACACGAAGGTAACGGAAGAAGAGGACATTCTTCTAGTCCGGTGGTAGGACAACGGCACCGTAAACATGCTATATACCTTTGTGGGACTTGGACAAGTCTCAAAGGTGAAGAGGTGGAGCGAGGCTCAGAAAACGGAAGTTGAAATCGAGTGCCCGCAAGTTATTGCCCAATACAACTGCTTCATGGGGGGGTGTTGATCACTTGGATTTTTCTTTATGTCCTCGTATCCTCCTCAAAGCTAGAACCAGAAAGTGGACAGTTAAAGTGATGTCTCACTTCATAACCTTTGCCACCTGCAATGAATGGATTGAATACATTCGCGATGCAAACAAGGAGGGACTTCCCAAGAAGGATGTAAAAAGATATTACGAAATTCCAGTTGGACATAGCGTAAAGGCTCATTGCCAACGGCAAGAGTGAAAGGCCCAGGAGGAAAAGGCCGAGCATCGACGCATCGAGCACTTCTATGAAGGCCCAGAACGCTGAGCCAAAGCTCACAAACTCTACAAGATTTGATGGCATCAAGCAGTGGCCAAAGCACATCAGCTCCAGCTTCGCTAAACGACGCAGGAACGATGGATGCACATTTAAGTTCCGAATTTGTTGTAGGAAGTGTGATGTTTTCCTGTGCCTGATTGCAACAAGGGACTATTTCTACGACTTCCATTGTAAAACGTAGAATTCTTTGATAACTGCGCCGGAAAATCTTCAAGAGGAAGAATTCATGAAAACATCCAAAGGCAAAAAAAAAATCCCAAAGTGCTCTAAGAAAATATTGAACATGAAAACAATATAACTGTTGAAGAATGTACTGGGAAATAGAGAAATTGAAGGCCAAAAAAATTAAGGTCTTCCATCTAGGGCAGGAACTTGAAATTGAGCGTAATAACCCCTGTCAGGTGTAGAAGCAGCTGCTTGATTATCTAGGTAAGGTCCTATGCACTGTAGTGTATGTTAACACTACAAGATGGCGTTACTGCATCTGCCCACTAGGCATCTACAAAAAAAACCTGATTAAAACCTGGACTGCACTTTTGGGCTGCTATTCAGCTGGTGTTGTCACTGCATCTCACAACATGCTGTCAGAAGTGGGGTCCCGCCAATGCCGCCAACACTGCTGATCCTATACCGCGGTTCCAACGCGAGGCGAGGCCTCACTGCCGCTCTCCTTCGCCGTGAGAGTCCCCATTCCTTGGTCATGGCCACCGGTGACCAGTCCGAAACGCTCGCCACTTCGTTCCCACCAGTCGTAGTGCAACTACGCCCACTGCCGGCGTTCGAGTTCGACAACCCTAGCACTTGGCCCAGGTGGCTTCTGCAGTATGAAGACTATTTGTTCGATGCCGGATTGTATGCAGCTTCACCCGAGATTCAGGTGCACTCCATGCTGTACTGCATCGGTCTGCAAGCTAGGGAAATCCTCGCATCCATCAAGCCTTCACCAACCACTTCGTCTATCCGCTAAACTAACTATAGAAGTCTGCACTTTCCATCGCCGTGCCTTATTTTGCGGGTTTTGCATCACTACATGTTGGATAACGTAGCACAGATGTTCTGCATAATGGGATACAAGGGAATGAAGCGTTTTGGCAGGCTAACCATCTTAACTTGTTGCAAGTTACGGACAACTGATCAAGAGGCAGACTTTCCGCACTGGCAGAAAGTCTCAAGTGCATTTCCAAAGAAAACAAGGACACCGCAGTGGGTAATTGATTACTGGGGTGCCAAATAAAGTTTATCTTGAGGGAAAAGATCATTTTCCTAAGGAGAATGCCAAGAGGAGAAGGTGTTGGTGCAGCTTCACAAAGAACAAGGGAGTTTGCACAAAATTTGTGTGCTGCACCTGCAACGTAACGTCCCTTTGTGTGTTGTGAAACAGCACTCCCTTCCATCCGCCAGGGAATCTGGCGGTTCACTGCAACAGATGTGGTTGCTCACGCGAAGCTTTGAGGACCCCCGGTCAGGATTCGCATTCACAGCCATCTCTTTTCACCTCGACGGATGCCGAAAACGCCACGTGCACGTGGTCCACGACTGCGCATGGTCAAACGGATCGCGCCAATGCGTTGCCTTCTATGTAATCTACCATAGACCAAATCGCGCTTCGATTTGGACTAGTAATGCCACCGGGTGGGACTACTGGCGTCTCGTCGTGTATCTTGCTACAAACCCCTGTCGGCTCAAGCACTTTGCGGTGTCAGGAGCCGATTGGCGCGAATGCCTTGGAGCTGCGCCTGTGGAACACGGAGGACATACTGGATGTGGAAGCTCACGAACAATGGAAACATTACTTGGAGCATTTCCGAGTACAACTGCCTGCGAAGACTGCTCCAGAAGTACAGGAGGCGATCAAGACACTGTGTTGCTCCGCCCAGGAACGAGTACTGCAGGTCAAACCAGAAGACGTCAAAACGCACATACAGAAGAATCGCTGTACCGAGTCATCCTCCAAAATCCGGTTTCGCCGCTAAACAGTATAATCCGAACGCCGGTATGGCTAGACAGTCCAGACTTGCGCTTTATACGACTAGACGATAAACGCTTGCAACGCGCGATTCAGGTGCTTAACGAGCAGCTGTGCAACTGGACTACCCTAGATTACATTCAGCTCTATTCCACAACTAACCCGCTTTTTGACGCGCCTCGCGGCAACATTAGTGCTTATTACATGGACATGAGCGCATCGTACGACGCCATGGTGCGTTTGCTCGAGTATCAACTCGGAGAGGAGGTGCCCGAGTTCGTACACGACTTGTACAATTTACTAGAACGTCGCATGCCCAAGAAAAACTGCATGGAAGTAATGTCACACCCCAGTGCAGGTAAAAACTTTTTTTTTTATGCCCTCGTGAGCTTTTACATTAACCGCGGCACCATTCACAACTTTAATCGCTGTTCAAACGTTCCGCTCCAGGACGCGGTAGGTAAGCGAGTGCCGATTTGGAACGAACCAAACTGTGTATCGGCAGCGTACGAAACGATCAAGGTTTGGTGGTCCTGGGAAGACACCACCACAGTCCTGGGAAGACACAGTCACCAACGAACTAGGGAGGTAACTGAGGCCTCTTACATTTCCAAGTTCGAAGACAACTGTGTCAGTGCGCCTTCTATAGATCTTTATGATTGTGAGGTGGCATTTTTAAGGGGCTTTAACTTGTGACAGTCATGTGTCACGATACAATTTTTGTTTGGTGTGACCACGCCGTTAGGCGTTTCTTTCAAAATAAACAGTTGATAGTCAGCGCTCCGTCTGTGTGCATCTTCTCCATTCTGTGTCCTAGTTTGTGCTGTTTTACCCGTAAAATTCCCTTCTATCCGTCGCATCAGTCACGAGGTGCCCCAAGAGAGGGCACCCCGTGTCCAAGCGTCAGACCTTTGGCCAGGACTCATCTGAGTGAATAATGCTGCAGTTAGTTGATCCCTTGGCACGTTATGTCGTAGTTGAGCACGAACATGGATGCGCTCTCTCACCATGTATGGTACGAGTTCATTTTTATTTTTAAACGGTTCTTGTTTGAACTTGCAAAGCCTCACATTTGGCGCAGTTGACAACGAGCCAGCCCAGCCACAACAGCTAACCTTAACCCTCGCCTGTTTTGCCCACATGGTTTCGACACTACGCCTAGCGTTCCCCAAGCATTGCCCGTCCGCCTAAGCCTGACCCGTTCACAACACTCCAACAAGCTTCTAGAGACCGCCTTCGCCATCAACACGTCTGTGAATGCCAGCATCAACTTTTCCCCCTTCCAACTGCTGTTCAGCTATGTGCCGAGGATCCCGCTGCAGAAACATTGCCAGTGCCAGCAGTACAATCTCAAGGAACGAATGACAGACGCAACAACCTGACAGTAGGCAGCAGTCAATTCGGAAGCTGCGCAAGGACTGCGGAAGAGCGTTATGACAACACCCACCGCCCCCCCGGCTTCACAGTGGGTGACCTAGTCTGGGTAAAGTGACCAACTCCGTTGCCCCAAGGGGAAATGGCCCCACGCTTCAACGGAGTGTACAGACTTGTCGAACAGTCCACACCCACCACATTCAGGGCCCTTCGTGTGTCAGGCACTGGGCCACGCCTACTCAATCAACTTCAAACTGTGCACGTACCACAGATAAAGAGGTATGTTCCCCGTCTCTCCGTTAGTTATCCACGAACCCAGGCACCCAGCAGAGCCGTCCACTCAAGCTGCAGAGTTCCCCAGTCAAAGAGCCAAGGAAACTCTCCCATCGGCACCTCCAATGCTGGATGGCCAGCGCCCAAGACAAAAGCAACATTGCCCTCTCCATCCGAGAAATTACATTTTGGACTGAACTCTCCAGTGTAATGTGTTTGGATGTGCCAGTGTGCCAGTCTCCAGCATCCCTATTAGCTGGTTGCCACTTTTGTGCGCAACTTGTGTAATTCTTTTGTTCCAAATACTAAATACTGTGTTTCGACATCTGAAGTTCATAGTGCCAACCAAGAAACTTGGTCTTCTCAAGCAAGGGTGGGATGGGAGAGAGCACTCTCTTCTCCTATCCCATCAAATGTGGTCCCACCAACTGCGGCTCAGAAGTTTGTTGCAGAACTATGGGAATTCGTTTAAACATTCTCTTTCTTGTTCAATAAAACATTTCCAATATAAAAGTAACTTTGGGGTCCCAGCGTTCCTCTAGCCCGGCAGCCCAGCTAAGTTTCTCTGCCGAAGCCATTCTCTGGATGGTAATAAACCCTTTCGACTGAAGAAGACGAGTCGTCTGGTCGATTACCTGCGGCGGACGACGGGGAGTCGGAACGCCGCATATTGTATATGCAGACAACCAATGTATTTTTTTCAGGCAATGATGCTGATTAAATTATGCGCAGGGCAAATCAGTTTTTCAGTAAACTCAATGCTAGGTCAATATCAAATTCATTCATTCATTCATTTACTAATCCTTAAGGGTCCTCTTTCTAGGGCATTACATAAGCAAAATTCTTTGCAAATCAATGTCCACAAAACAAAGGCTGCTCTAATTAAACCACAGTATGTATGTATCCAATCTTTTTCTTTGTGGAATAAATGTAGATATAGGTGGATAGTATAAAAGTATCAATGATGACATTTAATCAGTACTTGGTCTGGGACGAAATCGTGATACATATATGTAGTGAACTGTCGAGTGCAGTGGGTATTATATATAAATATTGAAGTATGCTCCTTACTACTGTTACGCTTCCCTTACAATACATACTCTTCAGAAAAAATTAATTTGTATTATATGTCCTGCAAAGGTTTTGAACTGTACCGGATTTTCTGGGACCCTACATTGGAACGACCCTACATTGGTGCCAGGCCGGATGGTCTGGTGGAGTACGAGTGCTGTCAGAAGCGCATCCTTGAGGTTAAATGCCCCGAAACCATGAAAAAGTTCCTGCAGGAAAATATGGAGAAAACCAAAGAGGTTTGCTTCAGTTCCACAGAAACTGAAGCACACGAGGACCATTTTATATCAGGTGCAAATGCAGATGAATCTCACAGGGGTCAGGCACAGCGTGTTTGTCTACATTAGTACGGACGATAATCTCCGCATCAAAGTAGAATTTGACGAGGGCTACTTCCAGGATGCGGTTGAAAAAGCTTCCTATTTCTTTCAGAAGTATGTGCCGCGAAGCCACCGCAACCAGGGGAATGCTACGATTACACGTGTAACAGACACACGCGTGTTCCTGATCCCGAAGCCCGGGAATAAATTACAATCGGAAAACTTGAGACCCATTTCACTCACGTCGTGTGTCGGTAAACTGAAGGAACACGTGATCCTCAACAAATTACATGCCTACGTCGATGATAAAGGACCCCTCCCTCCCTCCCTCCCTCCCTCCCTCCCTCCCTCCCTCCCCTCCCCTCCCCTCCCCTCCCCCCCCCCCCCCCCCCCCCCCCCCGCCCTATGATAGGTTTCAGACCTTGATTGTCTACCCAGGATGTGATGTTGCACCTCAAAAGTGCTACTATGCGCTTTAGTAAGCAGAAAAGTGTGAACCCGCCTTGCTATTGTATCCTTTTTCTGGCACTCCTGTGTCGGTCGCCACACATCTTCAGATTCTGGGGGTGACCTTTGCTTGTGCCGACTTTGGATTTTGCCCTATACATCTCTAACATTGTGGCAAAGGCACGTCGAACCCTCGGATTTGTGACAAGGGTGTCACATTCCTGCGGTCCAGAGGCCTTTCACGTCCTTTACACGGCTCTGGTGCTCCTGCGCTTAGAGTACTGTGCTCCCATCTGGAGCCCCCACCAAGCCCACCTCTCTCAGCGTCTGGAGGGGGTTTAGTGTCGCGCAACACAAACTCTCCTGTTCCGGATGCACTGGACGCTGGCCCCCCTTCAGACCTACGAAGATCGACTGAGGTGCCTCAGCTGGCATACACTAGACCATCAATGGGTCGTTGCACGTGTGAGACTGTTGTGTCGCCTCCTGGACGGTTCGCTAGAGAACACTTATCTTAACTCGGTCCTCCGTATTAGTAAGCGGTCCGGACAATCTGAGCAGCTACGGGCTTGCACAGATCGCCATAGCTCTATGTTTCTCCCAGCTGCGATCGAAGCCTTCCTCTCAACACCCCTGGACGTATGCTTGCCCATCCCAGAAGACCGGGCGGGATCCGCGCTTCTGTGCCGGGCCTTTTCGCGAGCGCGGAACTGATTGTATCGCGGGGCGCACGTGGCCCTCCATTTTTTGCCGTGATGGGGGGCCCGTTGCGAGAGGGCGATTGGGGTCGGTACCATGCTCGCCCTTCCAGGGTGCTGGACCTTTCCTCGGTCTCTCACATCCCTCTTTTATGCAGACGATCTGACCATAATTCATCCAGTTCAGTGCCCTGTACACAATCAGAAACTCCAACCTGACCTTAACGCTGTTCATGACCGGTCAATAGAAAACAGGCTCCCACTAAACGTCAACAAGTGCACATCTACGTTCCTCAGTACATCTAGAGGCCTCATCACCAAACAATGCAGCTTCCTGCTGAACGGAGCAGCACTTCTTGCTAGCGATCGCACAAGACTCCTCGGTGTAACGTTAGACCCTAAATTAACTTTTGCTGTTCCAATCGGTGAGGTGATCTCAAGGGCCCATAGGCTGCTGGGGTTTGTGCTCCAAGTCACTTGGGGAACTGGTTTTAGCACACTGCGGCATCTGTACACCGCACTCGTGCTACCACACTTAGAGAACTGTGCTTCGGTCTGGGACCCCTACCAGACTGCACTAATAGCGTCCCTCAAAAGCGTACAACGGCGTGCAGCCTACTCAGTTCTACGTCGGCAGACTTCCCCAGGCCTGCCGCGTTACCGCGACCTACCCACGCAGGAACTCCTAAAAATGGTTGGATGGAGCCCATTGTTTCTCCGCCGCCAAGTTGCGTCACTCCGGCTTCTTGCGAGCACCCTCCTCCCAAGCAATTCAACATTCCTGCTGGTGGAAAGCCTACGCCATACACGATCCGGTGGATTGCAGCCACTCTTCGGCCGCACTACGCGACACCGGAATTCATTCCTCATCGGGACTGTAGCACTGTGGCGCTCACTACCAAGGCAGCTCACCAAGTGCCCCCCCCAAAGAGAAAGAGGACATGAAAGCTGATGCACGAAGGCATTACACTTCCTCCGGCAGTGACAGACACCTTTTTAAACTGACACATACCATCCCATATGACCTTTGCGTTAAATATTAATTACTGTTGATGTTCTTGTTACTGCTGTGTTATGCTGCGGCACCACAGGCCTCAGGTCTGTGGTGCTCCAGTCTGGCAACGCTGTGCAGCCGCTCCCTAGCCGCCATGAGAAAGGAAGGCTTAGAGAACGGAATCTCCGCACTCGACGACATGCCTGCGCTTCGCTCCAGGTCGTCTTTCCTATAACCGGTTGGGTAACCTTGCCGTTGCGCCGTAACTCAGTGAGCAGAGCATTCTCGATTTTTATTCTGGAAAATCGTCCACAAAAAGGAGCTACGATCGAGGCTATAATTTGAGCAATGTTGACATCGCTGGAAAACAGGATCACGCGCCAACTCGACGTCGCAGAAAGACAAACCAAACGCTTTGAAACTGTCAGGTCATCACGCTCGACACGACTACTACACTGGCAGACAGCACTTGCCTTTTGCGCAGATTCTATTGGACATGGAATCCAGGCGATTTCTAATGCCGTCTGCACGCCGAGAAGCTCCGGGCCATCACCTCAAGACGCCGGTGAAATCTACCTTCAATCATTCGACCATACCAGCCTCGACCAGCATGAAAGTATTTGAAAGTTTAAAACGAAAGAAAATGACTAAGGACAAAGTTAAATTTACTCCCGGCGTCGTTCCGAGGACGTGGAAGGAGATGCCGCAAGACTACGACGTCCTAACGGTACCGGTGAAACAACCATCTCCTCCTCTTATCATTTTATTAATTCATTTCGCCATGTGGTCCATAGCTAATCTGGACAATTCTCCCGTTGATTCTTTAAGGCATTTATTCATCGATTACCTTAACAAAGAGGTGGCCCGCATCCTGAGCGAGAGACATGTAACGAAGGAATTGTTAAAGCTTCTCGAGGATTCCGTAGCGTCGGTCCCCTATTCAGTTTGGCTGCCGGTAGACGGAGACTCCAGAGAGAATTTGGTATTTTATCGCGGCGGACGTGTAAAACCTAAACACGTGGTGCAACCTTTTGTGCTCACTCACTATCAAGCGTATGAATACAATCGCGCCCACGTTGTTTTAAATATGTTTAACGGCTATAAGGGTAAAGTATTTTACCCTTATAGCTACACGTTCAGTCACGATACCAAAGATAAAAATCATAAGATCATGCTCCTGGAATATTTCTTCTTACCAGCGCTAA